ACCGGTGTGTTGGTCTTGCGTACGCAATGCATCATGGTGCTGTTCAAAGCCTGCTTACCGATGAGGTGGCGACCTGCAGCGGTGTCGCAAAGCCAGCTGATGCTATTGTTCCTGGCGGGGACACTTGGGACTGCTGGGACTACGGCGGCGACAGCGGCCGGAGATTTCGCCTTACTGAGGGCCCGTGGAGATCTTCAAGCACTTTCAACTGGAGCGTGATCCGCTTCCTCATGGCCATTGGACGTTTGCAAAGACGACCGGTGACGAGCTCTATCTCTGGGCTCAGGATTGCCTGACCTCATCCGAGGAACAACTCAGGGCAGATAAGCGTTTCCCACGCACAACCCGTGAGATAGCCGCCAAGCTGTTGAAAACCTGTCGCAAAGGCAAGTTTGGGTTGTTGTTCCAAAACATGGTGGAGCACGAACGGAACACCGCAGGTACAATGCCCAATGGGCGCGTGATGTTGCGTTCGACGGCCCAGTGTACTTCCCGGTCGGTGAATGGAGGAAGGCGCAGGACTTGGCCCTACACGCATCATAGGCATAGAACATACACGGAACTTTTGCCTTTTCAACGGCTGACATCTTTGCTGTCTTGGACACAGCCTTCGACCTCGGCGTGAGATTGGAAGGGTTAGTGTCTCCCTTGTTTGCACTTTGGGACATCGGAGGAGGAGGAGGCTTAGGGTTGAAAGGACTTTTGCCCTTAGGCGTAGGAGTAGCTGGGGTGCCGCCTTTATCCTGCCCTTGATCCCCTTTCTTCTCACCGTTCTTGTTCTTCTTCTTCTCCTTCTTAGTCTCTGCTGGCAAAGCGCTGGTAGCTGCTTCCTTGCCCGTGCCACGCACGGCCGGTTTGAGCTTAACATCCTGATCAAACTCATCACGGTTGCGCTTTTGCTGGGCAAGCTCAATGGCCAGGTCTGCCTTTGCCCAAAACCATGCACAGGTGCGGCGGTGACTATCATGGGCGGACTCACGGGCCTTCTCAACGCGATGCTTCATGATGGGGCACTTCTCAAACTCGTCAATGAGATGATTGAAAAGAGTTCTTTCCTTGGGGAGCTCATCAAGAGGTATCGCACGGAGAATATAGTTGTACTTCTCACGGAATGCCTCGATGTCTGCTACTGATTGGCCGGCAAGTTTCAATCCTAGAAGAAGCACTAAATCCTTAAGGTCCTTATGCGAACCACGGTTTCCTCATATGAGGCCGGATCTGATGCGCTTGTAGCAGCATCCCCACCACTAGTGGGGAGGATGGGAATTGAGCCACTTGACTTGTACTTGCACTTGTTAGCCTAAGCGTGGGGACAGCAGTTGTGTGCTGGGCAGCTACGGAAGGTGGGGGTGCCTGAGCCGATGCGATCGGGGGCGAAGCCCCTGATACCCCTACCTGGGCCACAACTAAAATTGAAAGTTGATGGACCAGCTCAGTTAAAGAGGACATTTGTGCCTGTACGTCTACAGGTCCCCTTGCATCCGAGCGGCGTCCGGTGGTCCTTGTGGTTGTGCACGTGGATCACCATCCTGGATTTGCACACGCTTGGCATCTGACTTGATGTCGGGCTGTGGGGGAGCGAAGGATTTTGGGAAACCAACAGGGGCACGTGGCGCTACCTTAGGGTCGCTACTTGAACTTCCCGATGCGCCTAGAGCTGCATCCTTCGGGGGACACTGCTCACGTGTGGCATCACTCGGCCCTTGAACTTGGGGAGCCTGTGATCCAACCTGAAGGTCACGTCCAGCGTCATTTCATCGGGGATCCGTAGGATTTTGACTTTCACGACTTTCATCCGGAGGTACCGGAACATTTTGTGCCATGGATGCGACAGCCCTTTCTAGGTCAGCAAGGCGTTGCGACAACAAAACGTTTTCACTCCCTAATGTATCTATCACCTTGCTTTGCTGGAGGATCTTCTGTTCCCGTGAGGAAATTTCTTGAATAGGCTCCTGCCTCAACCTGGCCACTTCGGCTTCTGCGGCCGACCTTGCTTGTTGGGCTTCATGCCTAGCACGTTCAACATGGCCTACAGCTTCCTGTCTTAACAGATGGACATGGCCTTCGGCTTCCTGCCTCACCTGTTGAACATGGCCTTGGGCTTCCTGTTGAGAATGCTGTGCAGCTTGTTCAGCTAATGCTGTCTGAGCACGGGCTCGTTCGACTGCTTGCTGCGCTTGGTATGTCAGTTCTGTTGCCTGTTGTCTAAAGGTCTGCTCCCTTTGTTGCGCAACAGCAGCAACCTCCCCTAGCCTTTGTCTGGCCTCGTCCGCGGCTCGATGCTCGTGAAGGGCAACATTGGCAGCCTGATCAGCAATGAGCGAAGCTTGGTGCGCACGTTGCAATGCCGATCCGGCCACAAACGCGGCAGCACTCATGTCCCTAGATGGGTCGGGTGCTGGCACTTGTGGGCTATACACAAGGGGGGTTGCAGTAGAGTCTGAATCAGGTTCCTCTACAATGGGAGTCCTACGGGGAGGAGTCGCGTTGCGATCGCGGCTACGAACATCTCTTGATGAGGATGCCCTGGAACCTACGGGAATTACGGACATTGCGGGTACCAAAATATCACCTAGTTCAGGGTCTTCCTCATTGGATTCTCCCCCAGGGGTTGACCGCGACCTATCATCCGAAGGTGGGGAAATCCCTGACGCCATATCGGATGCACCTTTCACACAAGGTCAGGCTCACGTATGCTGACACGCCGCGCTTCAAGCTGCGGCCTGGAAAAACTTATGTTACAACCGGTGTTGGAAACCGGTGCACTTGCTGCGCTTGAGCTGCAGCCTCCGGCAGTGCCAGGTCAACGAAAAATCCTTGGCCGCCCCTTGCAGAGTGTGGGCGGCGGCCAACTTCCTCGAGATACTCGTTTTGGTCGAGTACCCTGGCAGGGCGGAGAAGGTGTCGGTGCTGGTTGAGGTACTCGTGGAGCTCGTCCAGCGCGTCGTAGAGCGCGCGGTTGGCGTCTCGTCGACCGACACCTACGCTGAGGGTGCGGCACTCCTTGAGGACGGAGTTGTTGTCGTCCACGATGGCGCACGCCCTCAGCTGCGCTAAAGCTGCAGCCTTGCAAGATGGTCCGACCGTCTCCGAACGGGAGTGTGCCCAAGCCGTCAATGGCGTCGTTGCACACCTCGGAAAACTGGGTGGCAAGCTGGAGGGTGCTTTCCCGGGTATCCCGGGCCTGGCAGTAGCTGACGATGCGGAACTGGATGGGGTGGTGGCTGCGATACAGTTTGGACACTGTTCGCAAAAGCCGCTCCTTGGGCGCACCGTCAGGCTCGACGGAGATGTCGAGGGTGTTGTGCCAGTCGAGGGCGATGACCAACGGGTCTCTGGCCTCTTGCTGAGGCGCACCGAATTGCGTCCCGTCAGGGACGGGGCCCTTGGCAGCAGTGGGTGGCTGCTTGACCGGCAACTTGGGAGCCGGTGGCGACTTGTACCTCACCTGTGGTGGCAGTGAGGGTGGCGCCCGCTTGTATGCTTTGGGCGGTGTCTCAGGCCGCTTGACCCCGCTTATCGATCTTGGGACCGACGCTGCGCGTTGAGCTGCAGCCCTTGGCACGGGTGCTGGGGGTGCTGGTGGTGCTCTCAGCGGTGGTGGGGGTATGGCCTTCGACGCAGCGCGATCCGCAGCTGCCTGGTCGAGCACGCTTTGTGGGGGTGCCTTGACCTGGCTTTCCCGCTTGGCAAAAACGATCCGAGCGGTCTTTGTTGCGGGTGCTGTGGATGAGTCGCGCCCGGCAGGTGCAGGCCGCTTGATGCTGACCTGCTCAGCTTCGTACACCCTGTCCGGTGCCGACCTTTCTGGAGGTGGTGATGTACTCAGGTTGTAGTGCTCGGCCCTCCCGTGTCCTCAGTGGGGTTCAGATGAGGACTCCGCCCTTGGTGGACGATGCCAGTAGGAGTCTGGCAGGTCGCACGGGTCGTCTGAGGGTGGTGGATGCGGCGCCCGACGCGTGCGTCTTGGGGCGCCCTCGTACCGGTGCTGGAGGATCCAGATCCCTGTGCTGTCCACCCGGGTTGTGGGGTAGGCGCAGTTGGCCGGCGCAAGAATCAGCGGCCGGCCGCTCAGGATGCACGGGCCGGTGGTGAGGAAGAGCTGGAGCTCCTGGTTCTCGACCCCGCTGCGCTTTGAGCTGCAGCCCTGAGAGGAGTTCTGGATCTCGGGCGTCTGGTTGACGCCTTCCGTGCCGGTGCAAGGGAAGGCTGTTGCCTTGCCGGCGGTGTCCTCTTCCTCCGCGATGAGGACCTCCCTGCAGCAGTGTACCTTCCCCTACTTGCTGTTGCAGGCGGATATAGGAGAAGGGTCGGGACGGGCTCTCAGTTGAGGCTTTGGATGGAGCCGCTGCGCTTGGAGCTGCAGCCTGATCTCCCGGCCCTGTTGCTGCCTGTGTCTGCGCTGCGCTTGGGGCTGCAGCCTTGATGGTGGACACAGTTGTGGTGGAGGATGGACTTGATGGGGTGCTTGGCTGTGTTGTGGCTGAGCTGGTGTTGAAGCCTGCCCCGCCGCGCCTTGAGCTGCGGCCTGTGCCCGTTGTATAGTATTGGGATTGGTTGGTGTCGGCCTCGGGCAATGACGGCGTCGTAGAGGTCGGGGTAGATGTCCCGCAAGCGCCGGTAGCTCTGGTCGGTGAAATCGGCCTGCCACGCCAGGAGGGAGCTCCGATGCAAGTCCGAAGCTTCCTCCCAGGGGACTCTTGCTACAGCGAACCAGAAACCGGGACCCTTATTAACCCCAGTCCGGTAGGCGAGCGCAAGCCCTGGTTTTGATCTGGGCATCTTGAGCCAAATGGTCATTGCCATTTGACAAATCCATGCAAAGCAAAGGGGCCTCCAACATCACATACATGCACACCCTTCTGGGGTACCTCTTTGCGGGTCAAGGCGTCGTTATTATTCAACTTAGATGTGTACATCTTAATGTAGATTGGGTTAAACATATCTGTACACATAAAACAGACACGCCATATGGCCAGCGCCGCAACACCGTCCACGGCCTCTGCCAACGAAGGATTGGAGGCCTCGTTTACCGCAGAGTCCTTCAGCAAGTTGAGCGTGTCCTGTCTGGCCAATACATCAACTTTGGCAACCCAAACGCATGCACATTGAAGGCGAGCCTCCTGGCCTTCGCGACGCAAACGCCGGCACCCACCCCACGGCCATGCCCGCACACCTCCGCCCGACGCACACACGCACGCTCGCCCGCCCTCACACCAGCACGCCCTCCCACGTTCTGGGTTTCCTGTAGTAGCCCTGGCTCCGGATTGGACAAAACAATTCTAACTGTTTGGCTGCTAGAACGGTCTTCTGAAAAATGTTAAGGTTCAAGAAGCCGTTGCAGTAGCAGTTTGGCTTCAAGGTTCCCGACATTTATTTTAATAACACGGCGCCAAGGCCAACTCACATTGCATGGGCACCAAGGGGACTTTTGTAGGGAACATCGAGTTCGGGTCCTTGGCGCTGTAGAGCTGGATGAAGGTCTCTCGGAAGGAATCTGCGCGGCTTTTCTTGGATGTGATGATTGCGAAGCTAGGGGTCTGTCTTCTTCTTTCGGGTACCTTTTCTTTTGGGACCTCTCATGGACGAACATGGGAAAAGGAAATGGTCACATATGGTCGCTTTGATTTCTAGAAAAACTTCCCCCTGACTTGATCATTCTATTATTTGGGCCTGCGCTGTGCCGAAATAAGGTGTTTGAACCAGGTAAGTTTGGGTGTGGGGTGTGATTCAAGGTATGATTCGAGGCATCATTCAAAGTATGATTCGGGGTATGGTTCACAGGAACCGAAAATGATGTTTTAGCTGCGCTGACGGTCTGCCGTTGGCGAATCTCGCGCGCGTGGTCACAGGGTCACGTGCACAAACAAAGGGTATGGTTTGAAGTATGGTTCGGGTATGATTCGGGTAGTAGTAGCAGTACTAGTAGTAGTGGTAGCAGCAGCAGCAGCAGCAGCAGCAGCAGCAGCAGCACCAGCAGCACCAGCACCAGCAGTGGTGGTAGTGGTTGGTGGTCGTGGTTGTGGTAGTGGTAGTGGTAGTGGTAGTGGTAGTGGTAGTGGTAGTGGTAGTGGTAGTAGCAGTAGTAGTAGTAGTAGTAGTAGTAGTAGAACCTAGCATCGTGAAGGGGGTATGGTTCAAAGTATGGCTCGGAGGTAGGTCGAACTTCCGTCCTTTACTAAACCTTACGCACCTCAAGAAGGCACACACCTATTTGGAGCGCTAGGGCACCTTCCTCAAGATGTCCCTAGAGTTCGGGGCCGGGAAATGTTGAAATTCTTCGGGATGCTTAGTTCCGTGATCACTCCTGCACTAACCCTTCAACTGCATAATTCCCTCATGAGCCAGGACAAAGGAAACCAACTCGTGTTGAACTGAAATTCCGGCCCTTGCCAAACCGACGAACGACAATTTTCCCAGTTGCTCACACGGTTTTACCTTCGCGGGAGATCGCCCCAAATTGACACACAAACATTAATGTCGACCCGGATTCAACCTGCCGGATTGGTAGGTCGATACCCAAAAAGGATTCGCAGCAAAATGGGACACGCCCTAAATCAACCGGGGGTGACCAAGCCAAGCCATGCTGAAAGGATAGCGCAACATGTGCAGGTGCCGCCGAATATCCCCGAAACAAAATAAGGCTTCGATGAACATTTCGGCAGGGGCCCTCGCTTTTAAAGGGATTCAAGACCTTACACGCCACGCTGGAGACAAGACGTTGACTCTGGCCCTTTTAAGGTCAAGAGCTCCTAGTGTGGCCAACTTGAAACATGCACAGCCATTATCCCTGCCAGCCTTCTTTGAGATTTCAATCGCGTGACCCTGATAGAAAAGCGAACCTCTTTGTGGCTTGTCATTGGGTGGAAAAGCCGCTGCAACCACTAACAAAAACAATCCTGGTATGGGTGAGCTCGTACATCCGCTTACCTCGTTCTTCTGCGAGCTCGGTTTCATCCCAGATTCTCCGCAAAGAAAACAAAAACAAAAAGGTGTCCTCATCCGATCTATGTGCCAGACTGGGACCTGTGAACACGACTTGATGGTCGACAGTTGCAATTTACCGGTGGTCGGTGGTTTCCATTGCAACTGCCACTTTTGGAGGTTCCAAAAAGGGAAATAGGGGGGAACCCTGTAGGAATCAACTCGTCTCCCGCCTGGTTGAAAATAGCTGGATTCCACCAAACAACCAAACAGAACCTGAAAATCTATCTACTTTCGACCGGACCCAAAGAACCCACCGGTTCCCATTGAACAAAGAAGTATTTGCAGCCCATCTCACTTCCGGAGCGGATTGGTCAAAAAAAGACTGGCCCAGACTTGTTCACCCCCAAAAAACTTACAACATTGAACACGTTGTAACGCGGAACTAAGTCTGCTAGACTATCAGCCTTCAAATGTCTGGTCCCATCAGGGCCACTTGACCATGATGCCAGTCCGAGGAGCCAAAGTCTTGGTGTGCAGTGGCCATAGCACTGAGGCTGCAGAAGTTGGTGGTCGCCGGTAAAGGCAACGTGGAAGCCGCCGCGACACCTCCCTGAAGGAGCCTCGCATTTGGTTACCCCTGCAAATGGTGGAGCCCAAAAAAGGGGGTACTCCAAGGAAACTCCTCTGGGTTTTTCCCTATGACAGACAAACAAAACCTGATACCAAAGTGGGTGGATCCCCGTGACTACTCTAGCACTTTGAAGGGGATGCCCTTAATCAATCACAAAAAGTGGCCCTTAAACTCTACTTAATAACTAGGCCTTGCGTTCCAGCTGTGTCAGGGGACTGGTGTTTCTAGCGCCGCCATGTCAAAACACAAAAAAAAACAACCAAAATGGGAGTGGTTTGCTTTTGGTTTCCCTTTAAAACCAACCGCAAGGGGGCGCCCAACAAAAAGACACACCCGTCTCATGACTATAGCATCCATGAAATTCGGACCAAACCAACATTTGTTCCAAAAGAAAAGCTGTCACATGACTACCACATACAACATTGTCTCCGGCAAATTAACATGAGGAACCCTCATTTCTAAACGAGCCTCCTTTTGGACAGGGCAAAAGCAACAAGCTACCGTACCCTTGGTTAGGGGTAGGCCTCCAAATCAAATCTGCGAAGGTTAAAATACTTCCACGCGCTGCCATGGAAAGGAACCACATCGTTGGGTTTTCACTTCTTGTACCACAATCCCCCCGCCCACCCGCCATAAATAGTAAACAACAAAACATTCTCAAAGTTGGCCTTCCGTGTCGAGGGGCGCGGTGTGAGAATCCTCCCAATTGTGGACAACGTGCTCGAACCTGGCGCGCCCGATTTCAAGGGGCAAGAGATACACGACCGGTGTAGAGCCTTGATGCCGGACTCACGGGTAGACGTAGATGGCTCAATTCCCTCGCGACGGCAATTGGAAGTTTCGGATGTTTCTTTCATGCGATAATTACGCAGGTCCAGCGCCGGCGCCCTAGCGCTGCAGACCCGTAGGCGAGTCACACAAGATACGAAGCAGAATGTGCAGGCTTGTCCGTGGGAACTGTCGGTCAAGACGTAGGCCATGGGCTAGATGCCGAGAATACGTGCCCACGTGGGCCTGCCAGGTTGCAGGAACAAATCTGCAAAGACGGCAACGGGCCGAACCACTTGAAGAATTCAACTCTTGGTTTGGGACAGTGCGTTGAAGATGTTGGCCGTCCAGGTCCCCAAGCCGCATCAACCTGAACAGGACATCAGGTCACACTTCGCCCGCTTTGGTTTGGTGAAACATCGGCGTCGTTACGCGCCAGTGCTGTGGTGCATGTTCATTTCTTGTGATCGATGCTGAACGGTGCTGCTCCGGGGCAGGGACGCTGACCTGCTCTGTTTCCTTTTCGGGGGTTCATAGCCTCTCGGCGCAAAGCCACGCACCAGGATGGACCGGGCCTGGCTAAACTGATTCAATCCGGCTGGATGTTTTTGGCCGTTGCAAGTTGGTTGGGAATAGGCTGGGTCAGATTTCAAGCACGGGGGCGGTTGTGGCTTGCTTGCCCTGTGACAACTTTTGGACTTCTTTCACTTTCCCACCCAGTCTTGTTTGCAGCGGCTGTCCTTTTTCAAGGGCCAGAGGTCACGATTGCGAAGGGCAAAGCCAGAGCGGTTCAGAAAGACAACTCAAAACCAGAAGAAACACAAGGGCCGCTGAGGCCAACGCTTGGGCGTCACCCCATGCTCCGGCCCCGAGCACGTGCAACAGAGACCCTGCCCTGCGCGCATCTGGCTAGCAACACGCAGCAGATGCGCGCAGGGTCTCTGTTGCACGTGCACGGGGCCGGAACACGGGGTGACGCTCAACTGTTGGCCTCAGCGGCCCTTCTGATTCTTCTGGTGTTGAGTGGTCTTTCTGAACCGCTCTGGCTTTGCCCTTTGCAATCGTGACCTCTGGCCCAGACTTTGTTTGTCACACAATGTTTGACATGCTTGAATACTTGGGGAAGCCGGAGGGGCACCAAACCTTTCCGCGACAACCTCTCCGATTCGACTGATGTTGCTGATAAGATGTCTGTGGAAGGATCTTTGCAGGAGCTGTGGATGGGGTTGCTTGGTAGATATCTTGGAGGGATCTGCGCGCAGGATCCCCAAGAGTCCTGAAGCTGCAGAGCGTCCTCTACAAGATGTCTCAACATAAAACCTTGGCAGGTCCTGCGGAAGATCTGTTTGCGCGGATCTCCGCAGGAGCAGCCCACGGTATCTGCGGATGATCTTTTAGGATCTCGACACAAGACCTTTGTGGAGGATCTCTATATATGGTACCCTCTACAAGCTGTCTGCTCAAGATCTGAGATTTGTAGGCACCTTCTACCAGATCTCTCACAAGGTGTGCGAGTAGCATCTCTTGGTGGGATCTCTGGCCAGGATGCCTGAGAGGAGACTCTACGAGTAGGGAACACCCTCTACAAGACCTCTTGAAAGGGAAACCTTTGCAGGTCTTGCGCACAAGAGGGTCTCTGAAAGGACCAGCGCAAGGCACCTTTCGATTTTTCAGGATTTCTGCGCAAGATAAGACCCAAAGCCCGCAGAGGGTTCACCAATCAACCGTTTTCGGAATTCGCAAGGCACCACAGCCAGAGCACACCCGCGAAAGACACCAAATTCGTCCAAACACTTTGTGCGAGCCTGCGCAGCTGGAAAGCGCTGCCCAACAAAGAAGCGCCCTGATCTACCCCGGTCCTTTACTCTCACTGTAAGAATAACTTAGGTTAGACACACTGCTTGGGGAAAAACACGTATCGCAGGCGGACCATCCACATTCAACAATTTGGCAGCACACTTTTGTTGCTTGATCCCAAGGGTACCCTGCCCATGTGAAACTAAACTCCGCTGCTGCTTCGGGCTCCGCCGCACAGCTTGCACGCTCGCTTGGCGTACAGCGGCCTTCCGTTCACCCCTCTGCACATGGGGTCCTGGTGATAGCAATCACCGCATGAGGTGATCAAAATCTCACCTGGCTTAGCACATCTGTTCCTAGCTTGCCGCTCAGAAGATACCCGCTGTGAGGCGAACACCTCGTGGTTGTACATGATCGTAGGAGTCGTCTCCTCGCCAGCTGAACTGCTGGCCTGCTCAAGCGGCTGTTGAGCTTGCACAGGCGCCGTCCAAGTCAAACTGCGCCTGATCCATTTCAGGAACTCTTCAATCACTCGTAGTGCCACATAGCCACCCAGGAGCATGAGTATGAAGTAGAGTGAATCTCGTAGATCTTCGGGATCTTTTCCTTGGGCTCGGGCTCCTGGAATCATCATCGCTGCACATAGCAAAGGTCGCGTACTCAGCGCAGCACATGTTGTGGCCCCAAATGCCTGCAAAATGGGCCTTCCCTCCAGAACTTCCTTCTTGACCTTGTCATCGGCCTTGTACAGGTCCTCCTCGCTGATCTCCGCCAAAGTGGGCAGTCGCCGAACAAGTGCAGGATGCTTGTCCTCATTCCAGAAGCGCACATAGCCGGAGCTCAGAACTTTATTGAGCACGTACGAAACCATAGGCTTAGTCAGAGCATCTGCCGTCATACACTGTGTTGGGATGAGCATGAAGTTTTGTAGACGCCCAGTAACTCGTGCCTCCTTGATCGCCAGCAAGTACAGGCGCTGCAACTTGTCCTGTGGCAAAGACTTGCTCCCTGTGGCCAACTCAAAGAAGTCGCGGCAATCTGTAGCCGCATCCACTGGAAACAGAGGTGACCCAGATTCCTGGTAGAGGATCAACTTCTCGAGGGTAGGTTGTTTGTCCGGCAGCCATAGTTCAGTGAGCCGAGTAGCCATCATGCTCGATGCCTCCATGCCAGAAATAGCCGCCAATGTCTCTGCGTGTGAGGTGCTGTAAGATACCCTCTTCGCCTTGCCACCGTGCGCGTACAGAACGTGAGCGAGCGTAGTTGCAAATTGCCTTGGTGTCGCTGTCCGAGCAGGAAATCTCATCTTGATTCAAGATGTGGTTGGGGAGCTCGGGCATCAGCATGACCAACACACCTTCTTGAGCGTAGCATCTTCCCTTGCTTGCCGAAGACGCATCGTGAACGCATTGGATGCGAAACTTGCCCGGTCCAAGGAAGCGGTAGCGCAAACCCAAATTGATGCGATCTGCTGCCTTGGCCTTGTCCATGAGCTGGTTAGCTTGCTTAATGTGTTTGACCTTCGCCTGCTTCACGACCGATTGAAGGACTCCAACATCTGCGACCAAATCCAGTCGAGTGCTGCACAGCCACAAAAGACCGCCAAGAACTGATCTGAATGCTGTGAGCTCTTCTGCTGTGAGTGATCGTTCTTCATTACCCGGGGCTCTGTTGCTTTATGCAAACGGCCTGCATACTGAATCTGGTCGATGGAAAGGCCTGTAGCTGTTGCGCTATATCGTGAACCGCAATGCAGAAAAGGCAATCGTTCTCGGGATATCTTGCCGAACTCCTTGGCCATCTCCTTGAAGAGATTCTCTTTGAAGCTCGCCTCACCTGCCACTGCCAGATGACTACGTGGGTCGTGAGAAGCGCCTTCAACGGGAAGGTCTGCTTCTTGTGATTCTCCAGCTTCCAGAAGTAGAAACTGTCATCCAGTCTGGATGGGCAACCCCGTTGATTGCTCAAGAAAACGCCCAGACTGAGCTGCCATGCCACCGGAGCATCGTTCAGACCATACACAGGTTTGTTGCACCAAAGGCCATAGACATCAGTCTCCCACTCAGGAATTGCAAATTCCGGATCTAGCGCTCCGAGATGACGCCACATGTTGGGGGGATCACCACAACAGATCTCTCGGGCGATTTGATGCCTTGCTTCCGGAGCAGCTCCCGAATCTTGTCAAAGGACAGGCCCTTCAGAAATGCACCGGATACGTCCCAGCTCTCCGGGTGATCGTTCATCAAAGCTGCAGTGGAAACCAGCAATCGTTGGGACAAACGTGTTGCCGTTGTCGATCGAGTAGCCAAATGCTCCTTCTGAGAATCGAAACGGCCTCTTGCGCACATGCGAGATTTCACCACACGCTGGCCGTTCTTCATCTTCCACCGCCTGACCCATGTCCCATCGACGACGGTAACGTCGGGGGACAACTCCGAGAGCTTCACTCTGCGAAATGCCTTCTCCTGCGCGAATTGAGATACTTCAGCAGCGTCTGCGATCTCAACTTGTGGCCAAATGGGGGCCAAATCTGTCTCCTTGATGCTGTCTTCCTCCGATAAAGACAAGAAAACTCCACCGCCTTGCAAGTCAATGGGCATTTCGCGATGCTTGGTGCTGTACACGTGCACCAGAAAGGATGCTTGAGACTGCATCTGTTTGACTCGACCGTTGACAATGTCCCGGCTGATGTTCACACATGCCGTGGAGAGCCATGCTGGTGTAGTAAGCGAGTCCAACCACAAATGGTGCATCTCCATCGTGACCAACCTAGATTTCCGCCGTAGCCAGAAGAGCGTAGCCATGTTCTGGCACTCGTTGGTCGACTCGATGTAGTCCAAGCAAGTCTTCTTCTTCTCCGGTTCCAGACGAACCACTCTGCTGTCTGGATTGTCTCGCTTCTCACCAACGGTCTGTCATCTTCTTCCATTGGCACTGCATCTGAGGCTTGGGATTGTCCACGTGGTGGTTGTGCTTGAGGAATGGCACTCGTAGCTTGAGTCGACGGCTCTTCCGTAGAGATGAGGTAATAGAGAAAAGCAATGACGTTCAAGTCCTCCCAATGATGTTCCGCCATCTGCTTCAACTTGAGAGGGTTGTCGTCATTCTTGCTATCTTGGCATAGTTTGATGTGCCCTTCTGCCAGGTCAGGATGGTGCCGAG